ATTAATTCTTTTAAAAGGAAAATAATTCCTTTATTATCCTGTCCTCATCTTTTGTTTGAGCTCCATCCTCACTACAGTAGTATACACTAAGAGCGACACCAGGTACCTCTACTGTCCCTTTAAATCCAACAAAAGCCAGAATATTCGAGAGGACAAGAGAAGCATTATGCGTGAATAAATGTATCCTACACTTACCATTATCAGCGACCAAGTCATAGACATTTTCCCAGGCATTGTCCCAGTGGAATCACTCTTGTTTAAATATGCCCAGGTTCACATCTGTTACTTTTCGGCTTCATAGGTGGAGCATCAGCATCTCCGCATCAACAGGACACCCACATTGTTGTGAGGTATTGTCCCTTTGCTGGCTTATTCCCTCAGTGTACAAATTCCGTCCACTGACGCCTTTTTATAGTCTGTGCCCCGGCGTGCACGGGTTTCAAGTAGTAGGGGATAAGCGCTTCGTTTTGAAAGAAGAACGCTATAATTCCCATAGCGATGATGGATGGATCTGTGGACTTAAGTCTGGCTGCCGTTTGTCCAGGTTACGGATTCCCTGTGCCGCAAAGACGGGCTGAGGATGATGGGCGGGTACTGGCGACACACGTCACGACCGAAACTCGCCACTGGCTGCTTGTCTGCGCCGCACGCCGTATCGCTGGCCTGATACGAGCCGGTTTCCGGGAAGATACTGGGGGAGTCGTGGTGTAAGTGGAGTCTATCCTACAGGGCGTTAGACTGACAAATAGTATGACTAAGGTGTTGCACAGGTGTACCGTACGCACACACAAAGTAATAAAGTTAATTATTATCATTGTGGCAAACATTGTGTAAATTCTTACAGTAAATTGGACAATGTGACTTCAATTTAACATTGCAACGTATATAAAGTTAAATATAAAAGGCCTGTATAAAATGTGTAAAAACATATATAACAGGCTGAATAAAAAAATACTGTTTATTTCAAAAATGTTATAATTTACATATTAAAATAATATGTGAATATGAATATATGTACAAATAGTAGCCTATATACTGTATATACACTGCCATTAAAAAGTTTGGGATCAGTAAGATTTTTTATGTTTTTTAACAGTATTATTGTGAAATATTATTGCAATTTCTAATATTGGTTTCCTATTTTAATGTACTTAAAAAAATTATTAATTTTATGTGACGCAGCGCTGAATTTTCAGTAGCCATTACTAGTCTGGTCTTCAGTGTCACAGGATCCTTTAGGAATCATTCTGATATGGTGATTTATTATCAATGCTGAAACTGTTGTGCTGCTTAATATTTTTTTGGAACCTGTGCACATCCTTGCTGAATAAAGTATTAATTTCTTTAAAAAGAAAGAAAGAAAGAAAGAAAGAAAGAAAGAAAGAAAGAAAGGAATTACTGACCCCAAACTTTTGAATGGCAGTGTATATTGTAACACAAAATTTCTATTTTGAATAAACACTATTCTTTTTAACTTTTTTTTTTATATCAAAGAATCCTGAAAAAAGTATCATAGGTCCCAAAAACTATTAAGCAGCAAAACTTTTTCCAACAATGATTATCAATCAGCATTAGAATGATTTCTGAAGGATCATGTGACACTGACACACACACACACACACATACACACTCACAAAATGTAACAAAACATACCAAAGACAGATATAAAACATATGTAAATAATAACTTATTTATTAAGGTTTTTATATAAAAATATTACATATGTTGAATAAATAATAGGCCTACATTTACATACATTTATGTTAAATTGTTTAATTTATGCTATGGAATGATTACATATTACAGGGCTATCTATGTAGAAATTTGAATAAAATATTTTTACACTTTATTGTCACCTCAGGGTGGTGGTCATATATGAGTGATGTCACCCTTGTAGCTAACTTCTCATTGGTTAAACCGATGGCGTTGCAACTCACTATTATACAGTAGTTATACACACAGTTACACATACATATACACAAGATTTAAAAACATATCTAGAGTTATTACTATTATTACTACTAGTAATAATAATAATTAATAAATAAATAAAAATCATAATAAAATACCTAAACTAAATTAGAAATAATTCATGTATGTACACAGATGAATGTATGTAAGTAGGCCTATGCCTATACCTACACTGTCCAGTCTCATTTGCATTATTGTTTGAAAGAAAGTACCTCATCCAAACAGTCATTCTCAGGCCTCAGACATATGCAAACAGCATACGGCTCTTTTGTGTCACTGGCACAAGGACAGGAGATCATTTCCAGTGTGTCTCAGACAGGCAGAGCTCAGAGCCCACTGGCAGATGAAGAGCACACCATCTGGCACAGGCCTACACGTGCATCTGAGAACTAAAAGGATGAAACGGGGAAATGCTCTCACGTGCCACACTGTTTCTGCCCCGGGAACTCGCTCTAAGTGGGTTAGTGAGTTAGACAATGGGGTAAGACATAATGCCTTGCTCTGACTAACATTAGTGCATCCATGCTGAAATGTACAACAATATGCTTATTTGTGCCATTGTGCACTCACACACCACCTAGTGCTTTAAACATACAACATTCCACTAGCACTGTGGAGTGAAAGCTTTAATATTTTACTACATTTTTATTATGTGTGCTGACACCAGATTTTTGTTAGCATCTGCTACAGGATATAAAGCGATGTGTCTGTAGTAGTTCAGATCATGAATATGTCTGAAGCTACACAACCAAATTATATTTTATAATTATATGTCAGTCATTATGTCAGTATGTCAATAATTAGAACAGCAATACTCAAAATGCCTTAAAAATTATGTGTAAATCATTATTATATATTATATTATATTATTTGATTGATTTGATTTGATTTCTTGTGCAAACTAAGACATTTAAAGTCATATGAGAACAGAAAGTAAGTTCAAGAAAATACACTATTAATATAAAAGAAAATACAGCGTCATTCCACCCTGTCTTAGTTTTGTAAATTGTTCATATTCTGCCCTCTGCTGGCTGAAAAAACAATTTTGAAGACATATATTGAGAATTTTACAATATCGTGAACCTTATTTAATTATTTGATTTTGAAAAGCATTTATACAATAAATAATGAAATTTAATTAAGGGAGGCAAAATAATAGGACTAGATAAGTTTACCCAATTGGTACTAAGGCAATTTAAAGTGAATGTTTCAATGGTTTAAAAGAAAGCAGGTCTAAGCAATTGCTTGGAGTGCCCAGCAGAGAGAGACAAAAACCACAGGAATATATTGAAAGAAATGCCACTCACGTCACAAGACTGTATAAAGAGGGGAAACAAAACAAACTAACTGAACCATCAAGCAATATATTAAGGACCTATTAAGGAGTACGGCCACCCTTTGCCCTTCAACAGTCTTGTAATGCTGTTACTAGTTCTGAACTGTGTTTATGAGGGGATAGATTAAGCACATATAAATCTAAGATCTGTGCTTCAGAACTACTCATAATGTTTCAATGTTGTTTATGTCTAGGGATTAGGGAGGACATGGAAAGCATGACTTCATTCTGGAGCTCCATTCCTAGGAAACCATTGGATCTTACAACCCCACTAGATGGATATCTATTATGTAGATAGATGTAAATTGTGGGTTGATGTGTGTGTGTGTGTGTGTGTGTGTGTGTCTCAATATTTGGTACAGTTCACAGCAAATGTATGTTTTATGAATTGTCATGTAATACAATAGAATATTACGTTTTAAACAGGTTGTAAATAATAGATTGTCAAAATAGCCTCTAAAGGTACAGCACAGAATGATACAGAGCTTTTCTCTGAACTTTTTTGGTTACTTGCTTTCTCATAAATATAATATAATCTGACCATTTTGCATATTATTTTTCATGTTTTTCCTTTATTACTGCATAGGTTTTCACTATAACAATAATAAATGTAGTGCTGCTAACAGTGCCAGCACCATGTGATCTATATCACCATGGTTCCTTCCTTATATTATATTATCTACTAAGGGGGAAGTCGTGGCCTAATGGTTAAAGAGTCAGACTCGTAACCCAAAGGTTACGGGTTCGAGTCTAGTACCGTTCACTGCTGTGTGTGTGCACTTTGGATGGGATAAATGCAGAGCACTAATTCCGAGTATGGGTCACCATACTTGGCCACATGTCACGTCACTTATATTGTACACATTTCAAACAAACCTCAGTTTTTTATGGTTCATATCCTAAACAGAATACAAAAATGTGTTAAAATTAGTTTGCATATTATTCCACTATGTTGTAGGCCTTGTATAAAAAGGGCCTCATGTTACCTTCAGATGATGCTAATAAGTCCTCTTCCAGTGTAAGTCATAGTGTAATGCTACCATTCTTTCTCAGTAAATGTAATTCTTTGTGGTTGTTCTGTAATCATGAACATAGGCTGAGCTGCCATAAAACTTAGGAAAGTACATGGTTATGGAAATTGGCTTTGATTGAGGCAATTTCAGTTTACCGTTAACAGCTTAATAGCCAAATTTAATGCAAATAATTCAGCCACAGAGAGACATTCAGCTGAGAGAAGACGAGATTTCACAGTCACTTCACAGCCTACATACTCTGTTGACAAAATCATGAGAAAGTGACTGCAGATTGACTGGTATCCCCCAACCCCAATGTAAATGCAACATAATCCTTTTTTGTATTAAAACATTTAAGACATGATAAACAGAAATTCGCCTTTTTCATTGCTAATACACTTCAAGTAAAATTCCTTCTTATATACAATAAAAAAATACGAGTACATTTCCAGTTAATTTACAATGTTTGCTGTACAAATTAGCAAAGTATAACTATGTATAGGTATAATATAACATTATATTATAAATATATATTATATTTTTATATTGGTAAATCACTGCAATATTTGCGTGGATATGGCCATTTGTGCTTTAATAACCCATTTACACTAAAATGTAACACCTCAGCCTTTTGCATTTCAGCGAGGAAATCTGACTTCTCGCGGGATCCTCCCGATGAAATATCGCGGAGGCAAATCTAAGAAAGGTGGAGACTTCGGGATAACTTCCTGCACAGTACTCTCACGAATCATACCTCATACTTAAACAGCAGGCCAACGTCAAAACCAAGTCGAATGGATTAGTAACGCAAATAAACTCGCTAACAAGCACTTCATCAACACGATTCCTAAAGTAGGATTTAACGCTAGCATCCAGCCTGCTAGCTAACATCAGCTACCAGGACGGCAGATTGTACACATCAGATCAAGACAGTCTCGTAGCGAAGGACAGTATGGGTGAGTTCAACTCGCTTCTTATGGATCAGTTATAGTGTCACTTCGCGTTTCCGTTTCCAATGAAACGGCGCGAGCGAGTTACTTTAGCGTCATTTTAAAAGAAGAAACTGTATCCAAGTGGAAAAAAGAAAAAAAAAATCTTGCGATCAGATGAATATTTGACTAGGCGCCAGTGTCGCAAACTGGCTCGGCTTGTCCAAACCAGTAAATTCCAGGCGTTTACGTCAAGATTAATGACTCCCTGCTCTGCCACTACAGTATTATTGTTTACCTTTCGGATGTAAGTGGCTTTGACGTTGTTTGATTGTTTTTAACACAGTTTGTACTAGTTGCTGTGGCTCAGTTCCAAAGAAGCCCCTTTAAAGGTATACTCAGTTATTTTTGCTGATGAATAAAAAAATATATTTAAAGAAATAAACCGCACATTTGGCACGTCTTATTACAATGATATGCGCGCAAATAAGATGGAGAGTCCAAACCATGTCAGTTTTCTAGAAAAAGTCGTTTTATTTAACACGAAGCGGGTCGCCCCCTTATTGGCGCCGTCATTTTTACATCACATGACACGCTGTGCGATGACCCGATTTAATACTATTATTAATAACAACAATAATAGTGTCAATTCCAAAACTATAGTAAGATGAATAAGAGCCAGGCTAAAGACTAACAAAAACTTACTGAGTGCACCTTTTAGTGCTTTTACCGCAGCTTTAATAAGAAGCACCTACCTTGCAAGAAGTTATTAGGTAAGCAAATATTAAAGTGGAAAACGTTAGATTAGTACCAGTTTTGTGCTGTCATGCTCTACTGCACAACTCTGCTGCTTTGAATAAAGTGCAAATGTTAGAAGTTGTCTACAAATCCTGTTTTGGGTTAGCTTCATTTCCATATACTCCTCTCGATTTCAGGTTGTTGACACTTATTGAACTTACTGTATTTTTATTAGCAGTTATTTGTATTATACTACTGGAATTAGTAAGGGAGTCAGAGTTGTGTTTGTTTTATTGGCTACGTTCTATGTCAGGTGAGCAACCCATTAGCTCATGCTTGTATTGTTAGTAGCCAAAAGCAAATTGCACATTCAGAAGTAGGCTACATTTTTTATGACTGGTTAATATGGCTTTTAGCAAAACTCTTTTAGATCTTTTCTCTTAGATCTTTTTTGTCATCCATGTGATTATCCGAATGATGGGTCTTAATTGTATAACACCGTAGGGCAGAGTTTTTAATCTCAAACACAACCTCCTTAAGATACATACTAGAGTGGAAGATGTGTTAGAACATGTCCCTTTTACATTTACTTTTTGTTGAGAACATAAGCACTGAGACTCAAAGGAAAAAGTATGGGTTTTTACTTTTAGATACATGTTACATGGGGCATAATGGTCATTTGTTTTCCCAGCTGTAGGTTAGAGTAAATGTGTGGCGTAGGCTGGCGGCCGGCTGGCAGACCGGTTGCTTTCGTGGCCTTGAGTGCCTCCCCCCTCTCGTCAGTAATTCATCATGTTGTCACAGAGTTATGTAAGCACTGGATTGGAAATTGAACCCATCAGGAAGGATGGAAGTGTGTTAGAGTAATAAGTGTACTTTGCACAGGTGTGAGTGGACATTGCTTGGTCATGTCGTGTCTTGACTACAAACAAAATCAGTACAAGCAAAGTGACAATAGGTGAACATTTCTCACTGATCTCAGGTTTCAATGGGATCTTTAACACTGATCTGTTTTCCTCATATGTGGGAATCTGCTCTACAGATGGCCTTGTCGTGTTGTTTAACAACTAAAGGGTGGCCTAATAACTGTCAGTTGATTAGTAGTGCACTTCTTAGTCTGCAAAGATTACATGTTTCTTAATGCAATGGATTTTAATAGACATCAACTACATTATTTTTGCCAGCCGGAGCCTCACTCTTACAGACCCCAAACTTTTCAATGGCATTGTACATAATTAAGAACATTTCTAAATCAAAATCGTTTCATTTTGAGTTCACTGAAGAACCGTTAGGATTGATTAAGTGAATGATTGAGTCTAATTTGAACTGATAACATCGCATTTGGTTCAAGCACTCATGTGGTGAAGGAAATATTATTACAGTGCTCCATTATGATGTTCCTTCCACATCAGTGAAAGAATGCAGACGGTGAAGACCTATTAATAACAATAACCGATGCATGAAAATAATTTTGTTTCTGTATTTTTATAGAAAACAAAAATAGAACCAGTTCTAAATAAGCTTTCTCCTTACAATGTCTCTTGACATCACGCAAAGGGCTGAAAATATGTGAGGAATCTCAGCAGCCTCTCCCAACATGCTAACTACTGCACTACTAGTTATTTTGCCAAGTGATTTTGAAGAAAGGACTCTGGTTGACCTCTGAAGTATGTGTAATAATCATTTGTTTGATTGTGTTTGACTGACGTGCTTAAGAATCCCAGATTTTCTCTGTGGTCTCAAACTTTTGACCTCACAGTATTTATTTATTTTTTTAACCAAACAAAAATGCTTTGCTTGGAGAAACCCAAAACGATGCAGCTTCATGTATGACTTTAAGGAGGAGCAGGCTAGCTCCCAAATGGATCCTTTAAAAAAAAACAAAAAAAAAACTTTTTGTTCAAAATCTTGAAAGCTGTCGCTATTTTTCAAACTAATCAAAAGGTCTTCAAATTTGTTTATTTCATATTTGCATGTTGGAAAAAACCCTCTTTCTTGAAGTGCTGCAAGAACTTCCATTCTGGTTGGTCCAAGTTCTTCTTTCTGTGTAAATTCCAAATCTTTAAATGAGGACTAGTTTGTTTGTTTTGTGTGTGTGTGTGTGTGTGTGTGTGTGTGTGTGTGTGTGTGTTTGTGTCAACCAGGGTCTTGATTAGCTCAGTCCAAACTGCTTGAGGGCATTATGAGGTTAAATTGAAATGAAGTTTCCCATATTAGTTGCTCTATTTCCTCCAAGCTCCAGTCGCATATTGATTGTATGTGTGTTTTTTTTGTTTAGTGTAGTAATTTTATTTGATTAAACCATTGACCCATTTAACGTCTGACCTCTCTCTCTCTGATTCATGGCACACACAACTCGCCTTGATTGCACTTCTACTGTGAACATATGCTCTGAATAATTTTGTCTGTGGAATTTTGAGGTTGTCAGCACATTTTAAAAAAATAGAACCACTTTATGCAAGTTTCGTTTACGTTCAGAATCAAGGACGTTTTCAGCTAGAATTTACTCTGGAGTCATTATTCTGTCACTAATTAGTCTTGCATAAACAGATTTTGACTATAGGCAGAAAATCTGTGCCAAGAGCCACTCATTTGTTCTGACATGAATGTTAAGTAATCAACCCTTTTTTATGCGTTTTAATTATTGTTTTTTTTATACATAGGTCAGGTACAAAAATGTTGTATGGAAAACATTTTTTGAAAATCTTGCAAATGTCAAACTCAACCCAAGGCAGGGACTGACTTTTTAGCACTGTAGACACCATTTTTTTTCTGTAGTAAGGTACAGATAAATGTAGTTGTATTGTTTTTCACATTTTTTATGTAACATACATCAATAAAACTGCAGTAAGGTAGCAATGTTCAGTGGTCAGAAGTCTATGAGAGGTTGTACAGACAACACAGAATAAATTAATATTATATTGCAAACTTCTGCCAACTCTTGCCATTTCGCTGTGCAATATGTATCAGATGGTTTGTGGGCATGCCATCTGAAGATTTGACAAAGCTCTAACCTACGCTGGCAGTCAAATGTTTCAGATTGGTATGATTTCAGTGTTTTTAAAAGAAGCTTTGATGCTCACTAAGACTGCTTGTATTTTAATAAAGATAGCGTGAAAACAATGATATCATGAAATATTATTACAATTTAAAATAACTGTTTTCTGTGTTAATATATTGTGTAAAATTGAATCTTTCCGTGTGATAGCAAGCTGAATTTTCAGCAGCCATTACCCCAGTTTCCATCCTTCAGGAATCAATCTAATATGCTGATTTGGTGCTTAGGAAACATTTCTTCTTATCAATGTTGAACACAGTTCTGCTGCTGAATATTCTTATAATTCTTTTATTCATATTTTTCATAAATAAAATGTCCAAAAAAATAGCATTTATTTGAAATTGAATATTTTGTAATCATTTAAAATCTTTACTGTCTGTCACTTGATCAATTTAATGCATCCTTTGTTAAAAAAAGTAATAATTTCTTTAAAAAACCTTTAGACATCATATCATCCCTAGCACTTGTTGCTATATAGATGTTGTGTTCAATGACCTAAAGATTTAATGATCAAAGCCATCATAATTTGCATTGTCTGACTGTAGTTTAAAGGAATATGAAAATGAAGAAAAATGAAATATTATTTGAAAAAAATTAATTAATGAAAGAATATTATTTGCGCATGTTTTTTCAACCCCATATGCATCTATTTTTATTTTCATGTTACACAAAACAAATATAAGAAAAATCAATGTGGAGATTCTTGGGAAAAATAAATATTAATCATTTCCATTAATGGGTGAACTGTTTGAGTAACAGAACTGTACAGTGAAAGCATTCTAGCGCTTGTGCGTTTCTCAGCTCTTTGATCCATCTATGAGCCATTTCTAAAGTTTAGAATAAACAAGGGGCTGTTTACTTCAGCTCCAACTGTGGAAATTAGTTTGAGAGGTAATTTCAAAGATTGTATTGCTTACTTGTTGGATAAAACTTAAACAGTCCTTATTAAAACCTCGTTTCTTGGACTCAAGGCCTAAATGATTTCCTACTCCATTCAGTCTTTTGTGTTATTTCACTGACCTGGTATATTCCTGTAGTTATTCACAAGCTGGCAACTGTGAATAGCGTTTTAAGTAAAGATTTAAGAGATTTTGGCAATCAGAATGCAGAGAAGTAAATTATCTAATATGTTTTCCTTTCTAAATGGCTGCAGAGGGAATAAGAGCGAATGAAAACAGAGTCGCAGGCTCTGGATCTGCTCCTGACACTCAAGCCAAGTCGGCCAACTATG